TTTCCTTGGGAAATTGCGTTAACTGACAATCCAAGTTCGAAGTGTGTGTCCAGCCCTGTTTCGAAGGGTTCCTTCAACCACTTGGTGTTGCAGGGGGGCATGGCAGCTGTTTCCCTAGCCATGCCAACGAAGCTATGGGATTCAGCCGGAAGGGAATGTGGACGCACATTCCTGTACCTGCAACGAGAACTGTTTTCAAGCTGTGACGCCACTTTCCACGCTTTGGTTCATTGTCCTTCATGCTACTTCCCCCAAACACAGGTTTCCCACCGCATTTCTCAGCTGCTTGTGACTTGCCGCCGATTCATTGCAGATGTGCTCAACAATTGTTCAACATTACTTTTCCACGGACTTTGCCACCTTTCCGTTCCATCACCTTTTTACCTGGCAATTGAGTTAACTGAAAACCAATGTCGAAGTGTGAACACCTCTATGCCCCCGGCCGCTGGTAGGGTTTGAACTCCCCGAATCATGGATCATTGACACTCATTGAGTTATACAGGACGTGCGCACCGTGGTAAACCCGCCAACAGAGTACTATGGTAGAAAAAACCATCGCTCTAAAAGGTTCAGAATGAGTGAAAGAGTGATCGGAACGGGGTGAATGGGTTGGAACAAGGGTGGGTTGAATCATGTCACGTGTATCGAAAGCCATTGACAACAAGTTCTCATGATAGGGTGTCTGACCCATATCAAAAGAAGCCAGGCCACCGATGTTGGCCTGGCTTCTGACAAAAGGAACTGACTGATCAACATGGATAGAGCGTGACCATCGTAACCCCTGACTGATCAAGGCACTGATCAACACTGCAGTCCCTCTTTTGAATCAAACACCTTCATCAATACAGTATTCTAGCATATTCTAGCCATCCTTACACCACTAGTCTGTATTCATTAGATGTTCATCCTTACACCTTCAAGGGCAACACCTTCACCTTCCGGAACCCTTCCCATGTCCTGCCACGACCGACGTGATGGACGGCTCCCGGACGTGATGGCGCACTGGGTGTGCTCGTCCAGTTGCTCCAAGAAGGTGTTGTACATCAAAATCAGCTCATGAATCCTACTGACTTGACACGGGAAGGGTCGAAAGTATACTAATCCCAGACACGACCTGTCTGGGACTAGCATATGTACCTACATTGACTCTGGCCCAACTCCATGGAGTGTTTTGGAGTGTTTGGGCGATGCAAAAATGGGACGTCGACTCCGAAGCAATTCAAGGTCGGAACGCCTGGGGAGGTCTCCCTATTTGAGCTACACACCACCTGTCGGCTCGACGAAACCACCGGTCGGCTCGGTCCAGCCGTGGCACCAACGACCCTCTTTTTGGTGCAACTGCACGTTTGGGAGCGCTCCGTCGCAGCACAGAAGAGACGTTGCAAAAGAAACAAAAGAGAGTGCTCTGTGTTGGGTCTATCCTAATACCTGTAACAGTACGATGATGCTGGTTAGTAGAGGCCTTGTCCAAAAGTACTGATAGTTGTTTACTGGCTGTTACAGGTAATAGGACAGACCCTAGCTCTGTGGTTGGTGCCCAACCTCTGTTGGTGCTCTGTGACAGCTCCATAAATCCGTGAAATTGGTCAGGTCGTTCCAAACGAATCCTGCTGAGAATGGCTGGATGATGCTGGATGTGACGACTCTGAACGAAACATTCTAAGTAAGAATGTATGGCCCTACTCAGCAGCTGTATCTCAAAGGCGCGGTGCATGGTGTCAAGCATGGCTTCCCCACGTTTCTGAAGCCAAAAACCGTTCGCACCGCCCTCGCCATGTGCCCGGCACGCGCGGATCCACCACCGCGGCGGCAGTCCCGATCGCCATCGCCACCGGGTCTTGCCTTGGGTTGTTTCGCTGGCGGATCGCAGCAACGATCCGAGCCGATCCGGGATCTGAAGACGAAGTGCCATCGGTGGTTCAACATACCTTTATTTAGGGTATAAACGCCTGTGGAATATCAGAAAACATCAGAAAACTAGAGAAACATCCGCAGACTCAAATATAAGGTTGTGACTCCAAAATCCAACAGATGTTTTTTTCACGCCGCAGATCGAAAAAGAGCACTCTGAGGAAGTTCCAGGTATACATGTACATGCCTGCATCACCATCCTGTACGACTGATTAGCCGTATGGTCCTTGTATAGTTCAAAACATGTGTGCCTCCAACTGTATCTTGACACATGGACAACATACATAAGTGCATCAGCCAACTCAGCCAACTCAGGCCATCTGATTGACGTGCTTCCAAATGCGCCTTTGTTTGTGTACAGCACATGTATGTACAGCACGCGTCCTTGACGAGGCATGCATTCCGAGTGGCATCATCCGCATGTCGATCAGCCGTTGACAAATCTCAGCCGGACTCTCCAGAGTGATCGGCAGGACGTCCTGCGGCGTGCCCGCGCGAGGTAAGCGTGCGGACAGCGGTTTAGGCGGTTTAGGGCGGGCGATGGTTCGGGGCAGCCCGGCTTCGTGCCATGGACTCGTTTCGCCTGACTTGGTGCCGTGTTCTCGGGGTGAGGCCATTGGCCGGTGTTCGTTCTACATGGATGTTCAGGTACTGTAAATCCTCATGGATGTTCAGGTACTGTAAATCCTGAGAGGCTCTTTTTCTGGCTGTGAAGCCATCCCTGAAAGAACGGCCTCTCTTTGCAGCCAAAGAGTAATTACCAATCACCAGGCAATAAATTATCCTCGAGCCAAGCACTCTGGAGAAGAATCCCTATCGTGTTCTTTCACAGCTCGGGCAAGTCAGTAGGCAGCTATAGGCTATAGTAGGTCAGGAACAAATATAGATACAAATACAGTATACGTACAACACATATTATATCATAATTATTAGTGTGACGATAATTATGTCTTCATCCACCTTCCATGTCTCTCTCCTCCCCAAACTGCCGGACACCTGCCTGCAAATGCTTTAGAACAGAATCCTGGAGATGTGGCGGTCGGATGATGCGGCTCTTTAACAGGACCCCATTCTGGTCGCCACCTGGACATGTGTCCATTTGGTTTGCGTCTCTGGAATATTTGAAGGAACATGTTTTGGGTCTCTTAGATGGACCAGAAAGCACCAGAATGTTCTTTCTTGTGATCTTATGACTTGATGGGTGTGTTCATGGATGAAGACAAAGGGCCTGTTTGAGGGATGCTAATGCTGTGTCAGGTAAAATCATGATGACATGATGATGACAAATGACCATTAGTGGAGACCATTCTGTGATGGAGGGTGTTTCAACAGACCATCTCAAGCCTGGCAGATCCGATAGGAAGACTTCTTCAGCAATGCGATGGCGATGCTCGCCGCCGTGGAAGAGAATGGTCACCCCACAACGAACGAAAGTGCTGGGCCGATCATTCGGCCATCTTTGGAACGGCCAAGCAACACTATGGATCCACATAGCCTCTGAGACAGTGATTGGAGACACTTTACTATAGACATGGAGGGTCCAGTCGTATCCGAACCTGAGGTTCGGTACGTGGATCCTTTGGCTCATGGCCATGGCTGGTGTTCCGTTGTGGACAGGCGTGTTCCAAAGGGAGAGCGATAAGATGTGTATTGAAATCTTCAGTAGTTGCTTAAGCCGTATACCTATCGAATTGCAAAGAGATAGAACATGATAGAACGACTGAAACACGCAAATATCAAGACAAATCAAGTAAGATTCATGTGAAGCACCATCGGTCGGGCTTATCAGCTTCGGTCGTGCAGCAGAAGTTTCAGTCAGTAACAAGCTGAATTTGGAATGGCTGTGCTGATAGCTCGCTACCCAGCGCTTTTGTCCCCAAGATCGACAGCATGAAGACAGTGATCACTTCCAGTCTTTTGGGGCATGGAGTGGCTCAGTTTGCTCGAAAACACCCACCCACCTCACTATGGCTCACTTCCATCAGTGCGTCCGTAGGCCACATCCCAGTGGCCACCCACACACCCCACCCCTCTCACAACCCGAGTGCTGGGCGCCTCCATCAAAAGTCCACATCGCATGGCCTGTTCCTGCAGCTGGGACAAGCCCGGCTCCAAGGTTGCCTCCGGTGCGCGTCCCCGCGGCTGGCTGCAGACTTACGTGGACACCGGGTGAAGAGGAGCAGCACAGCGAAGACCAAGCAGAAATGGCATCCATCTTTGAGCTTGACTGTAGACCCCCTGTCAATTGATATAAGTTCGTAGATCCCCCCACGTAGAACATGTACTATCTATTTGGTGACCACTAGCAGCTCTTTCTTGACGACAATTGCTTCATTGCTCTGGATGGAAGCTCTCTGTTAGTTGGGCCCACAGCATCTCACACCCAACATCGGCATGCCAGTCAACTGGCAAGTCTGATAAACACGGCATGCCAGCCCGGCAGGATTTCCATTAGTCCGTCATAACATGATAGACGGAGTGAATTGAATTGAAACAGTCTCGGATGCTTCTGCATGCAACATAAATAAAGCGCTCTATATCAGTGCATTTCACGCTTTTCTTTTCTTCGGCTAAATGCATGTGGCATTTCGTCCCATGGTCGTGGTCGTGTACCCCCGTTCGATCCCGCCAAGCCCGAGACCCCCCGAACGCCGAACGCAGGCGTTCGGTCGATTTGGGGGTGAAGCAAAAACCTCCCAACATGCCAGGTGAGAGATATATAGATATGCTGCACCCTGCGAAGCAAACACCTCGTCACCTCGCATCACCTTTGCTGCTCTGCGTCAAGGGCCCGGCCTCCGTCTGACGAACGTGAAAGAAAATCTTCTCGAGATCCTGCATGCGTGAAACACGCGCAGCAAAATTGGAAGAAACACACATGCAGCTGCGTGAAACACTGCCAAACACACTGAAGGACGGCTGTGGGCTGTGGGTCAAAATTGGGGGGGGCATTGCTGGACCCATCAAAACCAACGGAATGGACTACTATGGAGCCCAACCAACCAGGGTACCAGGCTACGCACGATCGCGGTTGCATCGTCGTCGTTGCAATCCGAAGACCCCCGGATTGCCCAAGGCGAGCGGGTATGTAAGACATAGTGTACACGAGCGTCTAATGGGATACACTCCCGGAAACTAACATGGACCCTGAAAACCACTGGCTGGTAAAGGAAGACAATCTTCCACGGGCCATTGTCAGGTCTTAGTTTTCGGGAGTGTATCCTGCGTCTACACGAAAGGGAAAAGGGCGAATTTGGCGAAAGGAAAACGATCTCGCAACTGTTGCCTTTCAGTGTAGGTATGAGACAGTTGTTTGTAAGTACGCGCAGCTTGTACAAATGTGATGTGATGTGAATTGAGGCCCCAATGGTATCACATGTGCAAGCATCATGTCATCATCCCTAATGCCAAAACAATACTCTTTTCTTTTCAACGATTGAGAACACAGCTGGCAGAACACTGGTCCGGCTTATGTAAAGGACCCGTCCACTAAGGCATCTGTTCTCAGGAGGTCGATGAACCTGAAGAACTAAGAAGAGCCTGCTTTCAGTGCAGTAAAACAGTTCTCCGTGCTGCAGTTCAAATACACTTTGACTTGAAAACATGGACAGGTGCTCACATTGTTCTGTTCACCATGTATATCATGCTAGATGGTCTTAGATCGTTGTGATCGCTTTGGCGAGGCGAGTCATCGATCTACAAAACCCTTTGGGGCGCCGTCGATCGGTCGAATGGCTCACCCGTTGATAGATCTATTATGTCCCTAGGCCTCCAGTCGTACCGAACCTGAGAAGGTGAGACTGGGGTGGGTGCCAGGAGGGTCCAGTCATACCGAACCTGAGGTCCTTGGAGGTGTAGGCTCTGTGCTGCGTCTTTTTGTTCGTGCTTTCTTGAAACAAAATCCGTTGCTGGGCCCTTGGAGCGACCTCCTGAAGACATACGTCCACCACACCGGGGACATTCCCGTCCGAAGCGGCAACCTTCTCGCCAAACGCCCAACAGTGGCCTGTTTTGGGACTTCTGGTGCTGTTCCTCTTACTAGGAACAAGGACGCTACTGACTAGCTGGAGGCCATCGCTATGAGGTTGGAGGCCAAGAAGCTACTAGCTTGGAGCAAGAAGCTACCTCACGTGAATCGTAGCTTCTTGCTGAATCATCCATGAAATCTGTCATGGAACATGCCATTCTTTCGCTCCATCCTGTCGCCGGCATCTGTTTGCGACCGGAATCCTCGTCCACAATGGCAAAAAGATCCCTGTCCAATTCCTGGTGCGGGGGAGGGTGGTCACCACCGATGCCATCACCAGATCTCTTACCCCCCCATGGGACTGGAATAGTTACATATATTTACATATCACATCATGAACCCATGCATGACCTATAGTATGACCCATCCATATCAGGAACTCTTCCATACCAATGGGCCGACCAACCCTTTCCGAAAGGTAGTTCCGGACCCCCTACGTTTGGGGTGTCGAGTCGAACGTGGTGGTTTGGCCTTCCCCCCACCAAACACCCGGTCTTTTCCCGGTCATGGCAAGAACGAATCGTGTTTCAAGGACTTGAAGTCAAGTCAGTATAGTAGCCCTAGGGATCCAGTCGTACCGAACCTCAGAAGGCACGACTGGACCCGACCAGGGCACCCAGTCCCAGTCCCATTTTCTGAGAAGGTACGACTGGATCCCTATAGGGTAGTATAATCTGTTCTTCCTGCTTCGGAACGACTATGTCCACCACCCCATGTGATGACGTCATCGCCCACAGTGGTCGACTCCTTGGAGTCTGGTCGCTACCGATCCAGTGACGAGTCGAGTCTTCGGTGCACGGGGTGCTGGGCGGACCCGGATTCGTTGGTGCACCGCGGTGGACTGGTGTGACATGTTGGACGCTCCAAGAACGGATGGACTTGGAGGCTTGAAACGGCCTCTGCCGGCTTACAAATGCTTGTCCCCAAAGGGCTCAGAAAGGATCCTCAGTTCGCTAGAGACCTTGACCCTCACAACATGCAGTTGGTTCAGCCTCCAGCCTCCAGGTCGTATGACTGAATCATACAAGTTAAATTACTATGAAGATGTCGTTGTTGCACACGTTTCGAGCCAAGTCTTCATGAGTGACGTCGGTTGGGCCAGCTCACGATAGCCGGTCCTTGATTTGCTCCTCCAACTTTGCCAATTCTTCCATCGTGGGCAAAGCCTAACAATGAGAAATGGGGAAGTTCTCACTAATCAGGGGCCCGACGTAGGCGCGTGTTTTTGGCACACCAGGCGCGTGCCGTCGTTTTTGCCATGAGAATCCAAGCGTCCAAAAGGCGGATGAAATGACTTTTAGATCAAACCATCATGAGGATGGGCAAACAGGCCTGCGTCCGGTCAAGGAGTAACAGGGCATGCCAGGGCACACGCGGGCGTGAGTTGGGGACCGGCATCGATCTTGGGGAAAGTCGAGTTGAGTATCAAACCTAAGCCTTGTCGCGTGGCCGTTTGTGGAAGGTATAGACCATTCTAGCAAGCACACAGTCGAGTCATTCTTGGAGCCGCCAGCAAAATGGCGAACACCTTTGCCTTGGGAAGCCGGAATTTAACAACCTTTGAGCTTCCCCGTCAAAAGCTCATACTGGATAACATGCATAACCTCCCCATCCAATGTGCTCCCACAACAATTCGGCGCTCAAAAGGCACCCAAACGTGACGCAAACGTGACGCCGGTCCCGCGCGTCGCGCGGGTCGCGGGCGGAAAGGCCGCCTCCCCTTCGGGCAAGATCATGCCTGCCTGGCTTGTGGTTGTGGTTGTGGTTGTGGTTGTGGTTGTGGTTGTGGTGGTGGTGGTGGTGGTGGTGGTGGTGGTGCACTTCAGAGCTTTTCACCGCCAGGACCCCCGGGATCGGGTGTCGCGGATCCCTATAGAAAGATCTAGAAAGTAAGAGTGATCACCAGTCTCAATCTGTTCAGTCTGCATGGCCAATACCCTTGTTCCAAGCTGATTTGTTTAAATACATAAAGCTTGGGACCTCCGGCCTCAGCTGGCTTGGCTTGGCATGGCTTGGCGCTCTACTTCATCCAGGTGGTACTCTAAACATTTCAGGGAAGATCCTCAAGCTTTTGCGTAAATCAGATTTGTGGGTCTTTCAGGTGTCGACGATCTGTCCCCCCCAACAGATTGGGTCCCAAAAGATTCCGAGACTGGACTGGATTCCATTTTTGGGGGGGGATGGAAGAGTCTCGTCTTGTCCTGTGAACTCAGCCACATGTCGGGAGACCTCTCCAGAAGACGAGCTCAACCCAAAAACTCTCAAAAGCCACAGCAACGACCTTCTCAGACACTCTCAGGTCTGTGGAATTGATCCGGGATATGATTACATGTTCAATATGAACTGACCAAACCGGACCGATAGACCGCTACGATCCGCATCCGCATACGACCCTGTAACCCGCGTTCCTTTGGACCGACCAACTCGGCGCGCCTTGAAGTTTTGCAGGCTTTGACACCGGGACTGGTACAGCCGCAAATCTCGCACTGTCTTGTTGATCGCCTGCAGTTCCCCAGTTCGGGTGCATCCTCACTGGGCCTCGTCTATATCCTCACCGCTCGCAGTTCACCCGTGCAGAAGTTTGGCCTACGGTCTCCTTATCACGCCCAATGTTTAAGGAAACTTCGGTCTTGTCGGGGTCAATATCTAGGCTACGCTATAGGCGGCTAGACTATGGGAAGACCTCAACTTGCAATGGCCGAGGCACCATATAAAACTATTATACAAATAACAACAAAAAAAACATATTCCAACGTTCGTTGTGTGTGTCATGTCCAAAAACTGTAGCATGGCTTCCTTCTGACCATGCAGGAAATTGATCTTGCAGTGGAGTCTCCTCCAACCAAGGTAGAACCCTACTGGTACTCTGTTGTAGAGCTTACCAGATTCAGCATATTTTCTTCAGGATCCTGTCTCAGATCGATCTGTTTGATTCAGGCCGTCTGCAAAGAAACTGTTCATCTGTTGGAAGTTGGAAATATTTGTTTGACTTCAAACATGGATCCCGAGGAAACAAATAAACACTATACTTTGGGTTAATATCCCATTACCAGTAGGTTGCAGGCCTTTCCCTAAAGTGACAGTTGTTTGCCAACTGCAGGTTTGCTGGGACAACCCCAAACTCGACTAGACTATACTCATCTATACGTCCATCCCCATGCGCACCACGGTCAACATGTGGCAAGGAAGCATCAGGAAGCATCGATCAGTGTCATGAGGTCCACCCTCTGAAGTCTAACGTGCGATGATCACTCCATGTGAATGACTGAACTCACACCTCAATGACCCATCAGCCATACCATGTCTTCCTTCCTTTCAGCTCGCGTGCGAAAACGCTTCAATAACGATCCCATGGACCCGGGTCGAGGCAGGTACACCTTGAGTCTGACCGTTTTCCTCTATAAAGCAGTTTCAGTATGTGTTTTTCTTCAACCTCTCGCTTTGGACACGATGTCCAGCTGTCTCGCCACACTTCTCACATCCAAAACTGGTGACCTCAAAAACGACCGTCCAAGGGAGGTCGGACCTCACAGTCCTATAGCGGTCATGGCTGTGGGTCACCCGTTTCTTTTTGGTCCGAACATGAACTGGTTACGACCCTACAGGAGGTCACACCTACCAGGGTGAACCGGGATCCGGGCTTTCACCCAACTGCCATATATATATATATATTTTTTTTTTAAGAAGGGAGTCCCCCAACCAATGGGTATATAAGTCAATGTTCCGAACCTTTCCACTGGGGGTCGTGATTTGGGAAGTCTTCCTACTTTGATACAACCATATCAACCTACCAGGCCACTCCCGCGGACTCACCGGCAAACACTGAAGGAAGGTCTCCAGCTCTGTGTGGACCAAGAAAACGGACCGCGGCGGGGAGCTAAACCGCACCTCCTTCATGGCTTTGTGGGAGAGGTAAGGTGCTCCAGACTGATCGGAAGTCACCTGGCCGAAGACCGGTTTCCTTGGTGCTTTGTTGAGGGGAGAATTCGGACATGGGTCATCATTCATCATAGAAGATGTGGACGGAAAAAGAACACTATGCGTATCCCCAAGGCCAACCAAAAACTCTCAACAATCCTGATGATACTTGAGTGTTAACGGAGAAGTACCAGGATCATCCTGTCTGAGTGTTGTAGACCAGGCCCTACCCGGTGCCCTGTCTGGGTCTTCAGACAGGGCACCCAGACAGGAAGTGCTAGGTATGTCACCTCCCTGGTGATTGCTTCATCTAGCTTCATCATCACTTCCATGAAATCGCCCTTCCAAAGACAGTTGCTGGACACCGCCCCTATCGTCCATGGTTCGCACCGGGGGCTCTTGCTGTCTAAGACAAGATCTGGTCCAGTGTTCCAAACCATGCCATATATATCATACCTGACTGAATACCGAAGACCTGGCTCTCCTGGTCACTTCAAGGCTCTCCACAACTGGCTTTCTCCTCCACCTCCGCTCCGCAGGGTCCCCCCCTCGTGGCGCCTGTAAAGCAAGCTTGCGTCCAAAGCGCATCCTTCCTGTCCCCAGCGCGGCCGGGCGCGCTGCGGGCATCGGTGAAGAAGCAGAACTACTACGATCAAGAACATAACGGTGTAAGCAAGCCCGGGACAACACAAACAACAATGATATTGATTTTATTGCTTCAAGTTACATGCCACACATATCCAAGTGCCTAAAGGCCTGACTCTGAGTTCTTGAGCAGCTCAAATCATTCAAATCTATCCAACGCCCTACATGCCCTACCAGCTGCACGCTGAGTACCAGCTGCACCTGCTCGAAACGGCGCCTGCGAGGCACCCGGGATGGCCTGCAAGGCCATGGCTCAGTCGAAACACGAGGTCAGTGGGCTAATTTGTTTGGATCGAAGGGTCTTCGTGGACAAACCAGCTGTCGATGCCTCCAGTCTGGCGGTCGACCCTGGTGCAGAAAGCTGATCTCTCCCACCATTCGGCCGCTGGTCCTAAACCATCGACAGAACTACACCAACTGCGATCGAAAGCAGGTCCTCATGGTCTGGTGGTCTGGATGCGGTCGATGGATGCGGTCGATGGGCCGCTCTTCGAGTCAAAGAAATGCCGAGAGAGAGAGAGAGAAAGCGGCTTTCATGCGGTGTGCGGGTTTATTTTTGTTCGCACGCGCTGGTGCCAGTTCCCCTGAAATGATGCGCACGATCAGATACGTGTCATAATGTGTCATATATGATGAGTCACATTATGATTTCTTGAGATCATACGGTGCCTCGATCACAATGAAACCCACAGAAACAAACAAAAGAATCTGTCAAGCCACCAGCCAGAAAATTATTTGGGAATTTGTCCCCGATCAGCCAAATCATGGACACAATTTTCTTCCCACACAAGGCCAATGCCACGACATCCACACTCCCACGTCTGCGCCTTGTGCAAGTGCAGAATGGAATAAACGGAATAGAAAAAAGGAAGGATGCTTCTTCCAACAATCTCAAAAGGTCACTGTTATGGCAGCTTGCTGAGTTGAAATAGCAGCTCGCTAAGTTATGACAGCTTGCTGAGTTACGGCAGCTTGCTAAACCATACCTCTCCATACCTATCCACGGAGTCCAATGACTTGGACTCCTTGGACTCGCGAAGCTATGATAACAAGGCAGTCGAAGATCATGGGCTCATTTGTTACACAGTAAGCATCCAAAAATAACAGATTGATAGCACCCTTCATCACTCTTTCATGTGGGCATGACCTGCTTGTGTCCCTTGTGTCCGCGGCTCGACAGGACGAAAACCATGTCGAACCGCCCATTGAGCCAAGACGACCTGCAGTTCTTCACCAAATGGACAGTCCTCGAGGCCAAATGAAGACGTGATACCATGATGAAGTCACAGTACTACAGGTACGCACAATACTTATATATATATATACCTAGAGCCCAACTGACCTCTGTTTTGATAGGAAAAGACCATATTTTGGATAGTTGATCCTCCAAAACAGGGGTCACTCAGGTTCTAGGTATATATAATATATATAACTTATTATCATGTTGGTCATTGCCATTTGGATGCTTCCTTCAACCCAGCCCGACGGTCCCACCACCATGAAACCGACACGGTCGACCGACACCAGGTCACCCGCTAGGTCAATCATGGTCGACCGCCCGAGAGTTCTGATGATTTCCGGTGTATGTAGGTCAACGAAAGCAGGCCATATGGCTTTGGGAATTGATTGGGAACACTCCAACCAATGGAATCTAATGGATTTATATAGTCCGTTTTTTGAGATTCTCAGGGGTCGCCGATATCCATATGAAGCCTTTACGTGGAAGTTCGTTCAAGTCTCCTCAAGACACTTGCTATCACATCCAAAAAAGGAGCACACCTGGCTCTGTGCCTCATTGAAGTGGGCGGGCGAGTCCCGATCTGAAGACACTCAATTTCAGTGTGCCTCTGGTGTTTACGGAGGGTCATCCTTCCGTGAGGGAGCAAGAAAACTCATGAGCATGTTCCGACTTGGATCTTCAAACCAATGACGTCTAGATTTGTGTATACACATAGTCACGTTTTGCACAGCAACTGACAGCTGTGGATCGACGATCAGAGAGCGGCCCCTCCAGGGCTCCCCACAGAGCCCATCAACGAATCAGATCCTCGGTGGGGTTCTGGGGCGTCAGGCTCCTCGACTCGCGAGGGACCCCGCAACGAGGGACATCGATCGACTTGACTCGAGCAGAGCGTCAGGGCCGATCGGGATCGGACGGTTCCAAAGGATCAGCATGATTGACGTGCATTGTCTGACATGTCTGGTGACATGGCACATGGGTCTGAGGACATGGATTCTCGCAGGCGCCGCGCCAGTCTTCTGGACTGTTTGGTCAACTTCCTTCATGTCTCCGGCAAAAGAGAGTGAGGCAAGTCAATGGTGGGAGAGATTCAGAGATGTTCAAACAAAATCTGCCCATGTCTCAAATCCGAAGAGACCCCACATGCACTTCTTTATCCAAAGCAAACTTCCCACCCCCAACACCCAAAAACCATCGGCCTCGTGCACACCAAACCCCATTCCAACCGTCCGGGGCGCGGCCGCAGTCGTGTGGGTCGTGTGCGGGTGGGGGTGGCACGACATCCTCAGGCGTCGGGTCCTGGAGGGTCAGATGACCAGGTACCGTTGCGAGTCGAACATGGTACAGTTGCGTCTAACTCCAAGCGAACATGGTAAGGTACCGTTGCTTTTTTTGAGTAGCAGCGTTTACAGTAGTTGCCTTTAGTTGCTTTGGACTGTAAAGAATCATGTCAACCATGTTGAAAGCTCTTGGCCTCGGTTCAGAAACCCTCCGAAGAAACGTTCACAAAAATGCCCTTAATGATAGGCCAACCATTTCATCCGGGGCATCATCCACCTTAGTCTGCATATAACCGCATGTATATATATATATATCATATATATATAATACATTATAATATAACAATACCATTGATTGTCATATGACATTCTGATTCTTTGATTAGATTAGAGCCGATGGAGCCAACCAACCAGGCTGCCCAGGCTGCAGAAAGCAACATAAAAGGAGATCCCCGTCTCAATGAAACTCACCAGACTCCATGTCCCCACATCCCAGGTGCTTATTACACACGCCGCCCCGTCTCCATGCGTCGGGCACGCTCCGTCTCGACCGCTCCGTCTCGGATTCGTGGCAAATTCCTAAGCCTAGATCCTCAAAGCCAAGCAAGCTCCTGTGGAGAACCACAAGAGTTCCGGTTGGTCCCCGTTTCAACCCCTTCTCCATCCCAATCCCCTTACTACGAAGGACCAAAAACCGGAGCCTTCCTCCAAAGATCACGTGCCAAAAACAAAAAAGAAACACACCACCCCAAAATCAGAGGATGCCGCAGACTCGGGGAGGGTCGCAGACTCGGGGGGGGTCCATCTCCCAGGAGAAGTCTCTGACCAACCCCTAGGGCTCCTGGCCCACCTCCGTTTCGAAGATGGTTGGGGTGGGTGCCAGGGGGGTCTAACCACCGAACCTGAGGATATGGGACAGGAGCCCAAACGGGAACCATCCTTCCATGTCTTCACCTTTCGGCTCCGATGGCCTCTGCGGGCTCTTCACCATCACGAGGCTCGTCACCGCTCTGCGCGGTCCTGACCGTGGCCGAGCTCGGCCGAGCGGGTGGTGTCATCACGATGGAAAGGCTGCATGGGACGAAGGGCGTGAACGAATGATATTGAAAAGGGTTTTAAGGAGTATATGTCATCTATATATAGGCATATATTCCATGTATGTATCATGGAGTGTCATCACTGACCTTTACTCATCGTTTCTCTGGTCGTTTGCTGTCATAGTTCCTCAACCTGAACGAAGACAGCATCTGTCTGCTCATCCTCAAGCTGGCTTTCTCAATCCCCATTATACATATTGTAAACATATAATACCCTATAGCCTCAAAAGGCTATGTATTTGAAAAACTGGTTGACCTGGTTTTGAAGTGTAAGACCCTTAGTATAGAACCATGGTTGTTCGGTGATTACAGGCCATTATAGATCGATACCAAATTCATGGGCAATTCGGAATAACGTCATATACACATCCATGTGTACCCTTGTGTCTTTGCGATTCCGGAGGGAAGCCCGCGGGGCGATCGACCCGAAGCTGAGCGCCCAATCCACAGGCTTCTCAAGTGAACGACAACATGGCTTCTCAATCCCAGTCATGTGAACCTGCATGATCATGGGTTTCATATGGTTTCATGGGGTGTGAATGAACACAATGAACACCTGGCATCGTCGTGTCGAGTCTTCGGATGCATTCGGATTTGAAGATGGTCATCCGAACTCGAGGCCCTTTTCCATCCACCGGAACCATGATGATTTGCAGGGAGTGTAGCAGTGTAGCATGCCTTGCTTTGTTTTCACTCTGGCTGCACATGCTCTTTATTTTCCTCAATCACCTGGTCTTGAAGAGTTGTATAACTCTTTAACTCTCTTTACACCAAAGCTCCACACCTGCTGGTCCCCCAAAAACAAAAACACACCTCCCCTCCCCCCCAAAAGCAAAGAGACACACGGCCCAAACAGCTGCCTCTTCGGCATGAAGGCTGCGCAGCCGATTCACGCAGCCAGACTCGACTTACGAAGCTGGGACTCCCTGACTTCATCATGTTCACCTTGGCCAGGTTGAGCCGCTTCATCATCTCTTCGGCCTCTTCCTGCGCGGCACGTGGACGGCTTGGTCCGCGCGTACGCGGGCGCCATGACGCGCCATAGAAGGACGTACGTCATACACGCCATACGTGGACTGGACGCCAATTGGATGGCTTGGCGATGGCGGAGAGATCCCAACTTCCACAGTCAACCAAGTGATAGCTGGCTTCAGAACCTGAATGACCTCTAATTATTGTGGACCCTTCCTCTCAAATCAGTGGTCAAATGGGTTCAAGATGATTCAAGGATGTTCAAGGTTGATTTAGAACATCTGTTGTCATCGTACCTCACAGCCCTCGTTGGTGAATTCGTGTATCAGGCACTTTCAGCTCTGCAGTTCGGCGCCTTCTTCTCTTCAGTGACCTTGTCTGGATGATACCTTGGGCGATGCGGGTCTGGGATTAAGAGACGTAAACCACAGGATTGCCACAGAATTGTAAGAGGCCAGTAACTTCTATTTTAGAACATCCCGAGTTTGGAGCGGCGGTCCTTTTTTGAGCCGACGAGTGACGTCTGATCCTGTGCTTCGAAACACCGTCGATCTCTTGCTAGCACGACCCCCAGTCAGGAGTTGGGTGCTTCATGGACCACCCCCGAATCACCGGCGATTTAATGACACCTGGAAGAACTGTGGTGCGGATTCAGCACGTCCGTGCTGCTTCCGGAGTCACGCCGACCGCGGGAACCTTCGTTCCGTTTTCCGCCGGTGCGAGCGGCTGGAGTGACTTCATGCGCCAGGCTTTCACGATCTCCTGCAAGAAGAGGCGTTTGAATCCCAAAAGGGGGAGTGTTCAGGAACTAAGAGTCTATAGCTTTATATTAATTCTAAGTATAGGCCGCCAAGGAAATGAGATGAGCAACGAAATGGCCACCACAATGGCACATGCCACCCATCCCACGCCTTGGCAGTGGCATCTTCTGCCACACCTTAGAACCAAAACGAAGCAGCATTCAGTTGATTCTTGCACCTGTACTCCACACATGCTTTTTGGACATTTGGGTGGAAGCAAAGGGGGGATGATCTCACGAAGGCAGGAACTAACTAACGTCAGTGAGTTTGTGACGAGAAAAAGGGATAAACTGGGTAAGTTTCACAGGAAGGGCCGAATGTGTAGGCTTGGACACTGTGGACTTTTTCCCCAGATGAGGTTGGGCACAGCTGTTCAAGATTTGAGATCGATTCTGCTTAAAGATGTTCTGTCTCTATAGATTTACTCCCTATGGGTTCATAGAGTCATAGAGTCACGAACATCTAACATCTAAGCCTAATATTTTATGTGATTCTATGTCCCATCTACATTCATCCTAGTGACAAATAACCCATTCCTTGACCATGCTCCTTCTTCTCTCACCGTCCATCCATGACTCTTCACCACTGTCGCGCGCGCCTTCCTTTCGCGGGGTTCGTTTCGCCGGTTTCGCCGGTTCCGCGTAAAGGTGGGCGCCCCTCACCGAGGATCACGTGGTCCTTCTCGTCCCAGATGGTCTTCTCCTTGGCCTCCGCGCTGACTTCGACGCCCGCGGACCATTGGATTCAGCCCATCCGCCCAGTCTCCGGTGAAATCGTGAAATCCCTCTGAAAAAGAAAAGAACAACACCAAACAAGTATATATACAGACATGTCTGCCTATTATGGGTAAAGGCGACTTTTTGGATATACTATAAGCACACTGTTTGGAAGGAAGGACGTGGATGGAAGGAAGGCCACTTTGCTCTACGAACAGGAAGCTCTTCTTTAGTTCCATGGAACGTGAATGGGCATGTGAGTGGGCAATTTTGGTGTGTATTCAACTAAGGAGACCATGGGAGACGGCAACGACCCTCTGTAAAGTTTGGAAACTAGACGAAAAACCCAATTGTTACGGGGATCTCCCTATTTAGGTCTCCACTTGTTATGGGGCTCGGTTGGGAGGGGCTTAGTTCTGAAAGCTTCTGGTTCACCCCCCTTGGGTGACCTGAGAGGTCTAACCAACACTTGTGCTGACCTGAGAGAACTAGGTTTTGTTTTTCTTAAAAATCCGCCTGAGGTCCAAGCAACAGCAGGCCACAAGAAGCAACAGGACAAACAGCAACAACAAGCACAAACTATTAAGGAATAGCCAAACAAGCACAAGACAACCAAAAAAACACTTGCCAGCTTGGCCATCATTCGCCCATCACCCGGCCTCTTTGGTCTTGAAGCCCTTTTGCTTGCTTTCCGCCGACTGAGGCCAAGCGCATCCAAGCGCCGGTCGGCTGCTGAGATCTTGAACTGTTGGTGAACTTACGCTTGGTCCTTGACACGTAGAAGGAGTGGGATACAGCTTCTGCACCTGTCTCATTCGGGGACAGCTGGTTTACTTGGGAGGATGCCAACTTATGCCAACAAAACGTGAGCTTGCAACACTCCTTGACAACCACATCTGTCAGTTTAGGTTACACGTTGTGGGTCATGTCGGCCCGATCCTAGATGCCCCAAGCAATTTGATTGTCTTTGCTTTTCCACCATTCAAAACACCCAACAGGCTCTCAAAGATACAATTCAAGGAACCCAAAACTTCCACACAGGCAGAAGAGCCTGTGCCCCAAAATTGCTTCCAAGAAAGGACCACCTCTTGTGCTCCAAACCCGCCCCATCCACATCCACCTGCTGTGCTGAACACGGGGCCTTGCTCCCACCAAAGACCTTCACCCAGGCCACATAGACCTCGAAAAAAGCATCAAGCAGGATGCCGAATCCGGGGATGGCATTGGGGAGTCTGAAAGAAGCATCCGGATTAGCTTCTTCCAAAGGATGCATGTTTGTGCCTTTATATATAAATATATATATATACAACCAGCCAGTTTGAGGATCCAGGTATTGATGTTCTTCTTGATAGAAATATGTGTGTTCTTGATACGCATGGTACAGATCATGTTCTTTTTGGTAGGTATCCCACGAATTGGCTGGCTTGATTCTGGGATTCACTTCTATCATGGAACACTGTGGAGAATCATCGAAGAAAGAAACCAAAGGCACAACATGCCGCTGCATCTGACAGCAGAATTAGCTGAAAATGCACAGCAATAACGTGCTCTCATCTTTGGTCATGAGCAACTCGCCTTTTCAATTCAAAGGCGTGCATGCGTTTCCGACATGGCCTTGTTTAAGGTCATTCGTGCATTCCAACATGGCGGTTGCCAAGGTCATTCCGGGAGATACTGGCGACTCCATCATGCGACTCCTGTTGCTCCTACTCAAGAAACAAATCAGGAGCCCCTAGTAGCGTCCTTGCTCCTAGTAGCGATGCCCTTTGCTCCTAGTGGCGTCCGATCGCTCCTTGTAGCAGGGGTGTGTGCGTATAATGCGTGTCCAACATGTGGGACCCCAAAGAGGTTCCGTATGTTTAGCATCGCATACCAGGAGATGATAAGCTCAGGAGATGATAAATAATCCATTAATTAAGTTTTTTTGATATCCAAATCATCTGAAGTTGATAGGAGCTCCTTCGGCAACATCGTGCGATTTCATTCTGCACACATCCAATCTCAGGACGGTGCAGGTGAAAAACGGATGGCGTGTTTCCACTTAGCAAAAACGACAGACTTGCAGCGCAGCAATGAAGATCGCAGCTGGGGAAATGGACCTAGAATTCCTAGAATTTGTCAGAATGTGATATGTCTCCTCATTTGGATACACATCCAAACGTTGCATCTCTAAAAACCATTTCAGCTGTTCCTTACTCGGCCCTCCACGAATTTGTTGCCATATGGACCATATGGATGAGTCATGCACTGCACTGGTCCTCAACATGCTGTTGCAAGCATGCACGTCTGGTTTCACCCCTGCTTTTTCCATCTTATTGAACCAAAGCTTTGCTTGAGGCAAATTGCCACTTGGCTCACAAGCCTGAAGCAGTAGCTTAAGGGTCGTGAGGGTCGGTATCACTTCTGAATCAAGCAACATGCAATGCAACCACCAATCTGCTTGAGTAAAGTCCTTCCGATTCAATTCACCAATGATGAGAGCTTCATAGGTATCCCATGTGGGCTTGAACCTGGCTGCTGTCAATTTTGCCAGCCACTTTCTCGCACTCTGCACATCGCCTGCTGTGCCACATACTCGAAGCATTGAATTGAAAGCTGCTACGCTGGGGATCACATCAGCTGCTTTCATCTTGTCAAACCACTCTTCAGCCCCTTGAACATTACCTGTCTTGCTGAACAGTGAGATCATGGTCGTAAAGGCAACCACATCAGGTTTGAATCCAGCTTTTGCACTTTCTTCAAAAAAATGTGTCGCTCTGCGCATGTTGCCAGCATCCGCATAGACGTTCAACATTTGCATGAAGGTGACATTGTGTGGCTTGACACGAGCTTTCTTCATGTTCTTCCAAAGTTCCTCTGCCTTCTGAAGGCTGCGTGCTGGATTGCTTTTGTCTTTCGCACAGGCACCGATCAAAAGGCCAAATGTCACACCGTCAGGCTTGAGCTTAGCAGACCGCATCTGCTCAAAGTAGAAATCTGCACGCGTGGAGTTGCCGCATACAGCGCAGGCCTGAATGAGGATGGTGTAGCTTTTAACATCTGGCTTAATTCCCTTTTGGTTCATGCGCTTGAACCACATGTCGGCACGGTCAACACCACCTGGCACTGCAAAAGCGAACATGGCAGAGTTGTAAGCATCTCTACTACTATTGCCAGACTCCTCCATCTCATTAGCCCATTTTTCCACCTCCTTTTGATCTTTTGCTCTGGCACAAAGAGACATCATCCATTGATAGGTGACACCATCCGGCTGCAACCCCTTGCAAGTGAGACTTTGATAGAGTTTCTTTCCTTCTTCCACCAGCTTTGCAATCTCCGGGTGGTCAAAGGCACTGATAGCAAGCTCCATTTGTTCCCTTTTCAACTCACGCACTCGCTCCTGCACCCGGTTTGCCAGCCCTTCCAAGCGCTGGTTGCACTGCTCCAAGGTCTGGTGATCGGTCCCACTGGAGGCTGCAGGGCGATTGAAACACTGGCCACGCTCTCCATCTGCCGAGCCAGTCGACGTGGCGGCCGCGGGCTTGTCAGTGACAGACTGCAAGTCCTCTCGCTGGATGCTGGCACTGCAAAAGGGGCATGCGCCTTCATGGGCGCAGCGATCACACAAAACAATCCGGCGGTTTTTGCCCGAACTTCCAGGTGGGCCAGGGCAATCCCTGCTGGAGCATTGGAAATAGCATTGAGCCTTTCGCTCACATTCTGAACGCCAACAACGGGGGTCACAAAGATAAGATGTGCTGGCTGAGTTTTCATCAGCCATGGCGAGATTGGCCTCCCTTGAAATACTAGCTCAATCGGTCTGATCTCTTGAGCCATTTCAGAATGATACCGAATCCATCGCACTTTCCACAAGAAGAAGAAAAGGCGGGCTCCACCGAAGAGGACAAGCTGGGTTGTTTGGTGCATCTGCATTTTGGCCTTTTCTCCCAGCAAAGAGTCAATAAGAGGCGGTCTTGGTCAAGAAGAAGACTCCCTAACTACTGCCGTAGGTCTTCCCCTTTTGCACTATGACTGAAGCCTCCGCCTCCTTTCCCTCCTTTCCCTGCTTCCTCAGGGTCACTTCCGCTTCGAGCGTGAACTCTTCAGATCCAAAGACCAGACTCCCACACCACTCATCCGCTCCACTCATCCAACTCCCAACATCCACATCCACATCAGCTCACCCAAAATGTTCCCCCCTCCCCCCAAAAAAAACACGGGAGATCCGGATAGAAAACCCTCCGACTGGCCCCTGGCATAGTCAGTCCACCATCCCAAACCCAAAACCGGACCGAACCAACACGTCGGACGGAACGGGTCCGACGGGTCCGACGGACGCGGCACGACGTGGGGGGCGCGCCTGGGAGGCTTCCAATGGGCCAATCCGGTGCACCGATTCGGAGCCCCTGCGATGGAGGGAGACTCGGTCGACCGCGGAAGAGGGTGGGAAGGGAGGGATACGGGAGGGATACGGGATAAATAGATCGATGCGCTAGATGTAGTTTTTGGTTAAAAGGAAGCACATATAGCACATCATACCACATCATACTATCACCCATGTATCACTCAAAAGGATGCACTTAGCTTGTAGTTTAGTTTTAAATGCTTTCTGGGTAGATGGCACTGGCACCCGGTCTGATGTCTTTGACAAGTTTGGGGACTCCATCTAGACCACCTCTTCGGGTGCCAGCGCCATCGGTCCTCTCAATCCATTACAGCTGTATATTATATAATTTGGGTCTATCCTATTACCTGTAACAGTGGATGATGATCGTTACTAAAGGCCTTGTTTAAAAAGGATGATAATTGTTTACTGACTGTTACAGGTAGTAGGACAGACCCAAACAATATATATATATATATGCTTGAACAAAGTTAAGAAAGCACATCAGTTAGTATCACTCAGTTAGTTTGGCACTGGAAACCATACCCTGTATTTTTCATGTTTGGCTTGAAAGATCCTAACATACCCTCTACTGGATATGGACGGACATGGAACGTACACTCCTCTGAACGCTATGTGTTCCATGACTGTTGTCGTATACAATAATCCTACCCGCCCAAACCGTAGAAATCAATTCAAGCTTCGATGGAAAACACCTAGGGTGTCCACAGGACAAAAAAAAAACACGAGCTTTCTAGAACCAGTTGCTACAATTCTGGGTTTCGTCATTACGGGTTTAGCAGGGGCCGGGGTTTTAAGAACACACCCATATATGTGCGATTTACAAAAGAACCATGAGGTTTCGACTGAGAATACGAAATGATATGACATGTTGGGGTTCGCGGGGTAGTTACCTTTTAACGAAGTTTTTGGCAGGTCAATCGTGGTCACACCATGTCGTCCGGCCCTTTTGGCGGGAGAAGGTCTGGCGGATCGCTCAGAGCGTCCGATGACACCGAGGTGACACCGAGGTGATTCTGATCGTCTAAGAGAAACAAGAGTGAGGTGGAAAACGTTCGGAGTGTTTTTCTATGTGTTGATGGTGTTAGTGTTATAGAGTCTTTAGTCTAGTGTTGATTGTGTTTGTCTGTTTTTGTTTGCTTTCGATTGGAACCTTGCCGACTGTACGTCCCATGGCAGGTCTCCGTCGGTTACCCATCGGTACAGGATCCTTCCTACTTGGAGTGATAGTTCTGGCGTGCTCTGGAGCGTGCGCGGACGTATAACTAGTGAGGCCATAGGCGATGACGCACAAACACATGCTAAGCATCAACGTCATCTTCCCATTGAGCAGTGTCAAATGAAAAATTCATAATGTTTGCACCCGACTCGCAGTACATCAACATAGAAATGCATAAACATCTATGTTGTTGGCTGTGTTGGTGTTTATACTTCTTCACAAAAGGCAAGAGGTTCAACAGAACCTCACCTCCACTCTTGTGAAGGCATAAAGCGTACCTTTGAACAAAGCCCATGTGTTTTCTCTTTTCCTCCCCCTCACAGGCACCAGGAGAAAAGACCATGGTCCCCCTTCTCCACCAGTGATTCTGGTCCTCAAGGGTCAGCTCTGCATGCCAGGGGAAAAAAATTGGACCCCACCGAAAACAGGGTCGTTTCTTATGTGTCTTCAGTGCCCTAAAAATTATCATCCAAGTTCTTTCCTCCATCATCCTCCATCTACACGTCCAGGATTGGCCAGGATTGGCGACACCTCACCCATGTTACCAACACCTCCACCTAGTGACACCGAGAACAATAGACCATCCCTACAAGTCCGACGACCCAGTAACACCTGGTCCTTTACCTTCTTTCATCGTGTTTTTCCATGACCAACGTCAGTAAAATGAGGTCGACTTGTAGGGCAGACAGCTGTCAGCATGCTGTCCGTCGGCAGTCAGTCGGCCTCACGGGGCCGGTCTGCACCAACGTGGAGGCAGCACTGATTGCACAGCCCGAGGCGTAGACCGTTAATTCGAACTGGTCGCCCGAGAGGTTCCTCAGCGAGGCAAAGAAGCGGCTGAATCGACAGACAGGCGTGCCGTGCTTCTGTAGGCAAGAATGGTCCTCAGCGAGAAGAGCCACATCTTGAAAAACATGCATCTACTATCATCATCTATCATGAAGGCTAAATGGAATCAGACCCTTCCGTTTGCCTCTGATATCATCTATATACTATCTATATACTTACGGCTTACGGGTGCCTATCGAGGTGCTGTGTTTTCAGGTGAGCCGCCGGCCTGGTTGCCCGGTCGTGTCGAGCGGCACAGAGACTCTGTGTCTTCCAGGTTTGGGGTGATGTTTGTTGGTCTGGACTGATATGTATAGGTGACTTATAGTTGTATAGTCATAGTCGGTGCTTATGTGCTTGGTCAGTCAATCCATCGTTCCTCTTGTGAGTACCACCTTTCCAGAAAATGCCAACTTCCCGCGAAACGCGGCCCGCATCACGACGCGGAGCCGGGACAAGCAAACCGAAGCAAAATAGACTGAACAGAAATACATACACTATAGCATATACTATAGCTGTGAGCTAGCAGTGAGGGCATCCACAGCTGTGAGTATGACATTTATAGCTGTGATGTATATGTTGAAACGTTCATCCAATGGCCAGTTCGACCAGTTCTCAGACCCTTCTTTCGACCCTTCTTCAGACCCTGAGAAGAGCACCCCAAGCTGAGAACCACTGCTGTGTCGTGCACCTGGCTGCAGCCGGGGACTGCACCGGGTACCAACGATGAGGATCGAGGCCCTGCCACCCTCACTTTAAGAGTGCTGTTCTTTTCAGATCGAGGCAGGTCGATTTTTGGGCAAACGATGGCCTCACCATGACCGTGAAACCGGAGAATCTCCCCCTGATGATCCTTGATGGCTCATCTTCCCTATTTGCTCATGTTTGCTCCTTACAAAGCAACGGCAGGACCTCACAACCCGAGGTCCCAAAACGCTTGGAACGCGAAGACATCCACTCCGAACGCCCTGATGAACGGATACCCAGGAGGACCGACTTGGTACCCCCGAGGTTCGGTATACATGTCTAGCACGGGGGTGAAACATGTCTAGTGAGGGCTTGTCTGAATTTCAATGTATATATAGTTATTCAATAGCATCCATAAGATTAACTAAATTCAAATATAACACGTGTGAGTTCAATGGTAAAACTATATGGAATTTCAGTACAGAATACTGTTGGGTTGATCATCGTAAGTCTAGAAACAGTCTAGTCTAGCAGGATCTTGGGTTTGAAATGCCCTCAGTCACTCGGTGACAGAAATGGACTGTATACTGCAGGTTCCCTGCTGGATCCCATTCCCATCAACCAACTCCTGCCCAGTTCCTCCGTAACCCTCCGTCACCCCCCATGGACCCGTCCGACGAGCGATCCGCGCACGACCCCCCAGCGAGAGCGCCCTGAAACGCCCGTCCCTCCTCCCAGCCGACCGGACGCCCAAACAGCGCCTCGACCACATCGATGGTGGGGATATGGAGTTTCTGCTCCGTCCGGGCCACCAGGCAACAGCAATCCAAGCTAATCGAAGGATCGAACTTCGCATCTGCACGCGGCGCGGAACTCGCGTCGGTCGGGGAGTCGGATCGGGTGTTTTGGAAGTGGAGGTTAGGTACGGTGCTGATTTTGTTAGGTGGGGCAGAAGCCAAAGCGCACCCAGGCCCATGGAAAAGAATCCAATTGTTGATCTCATTAGTTCTGGGATCAGCTGAGAAGAGTACCCTGATGTGCTATAATTAACCTGTGGTGAAGATCGACGAAGAAGTCAGTTCAGGCTCAGGTGTCCCTCTAAAAGCTGGGTAAACCCCCCAGGTCATCTAAATGGATCTCTATCCATGGATGCCATGGAGTTTCGAAAAGATCGCCCGCCGTGGCCATATGTTCCGCTCTAATACAGGGCATCACGATCACTCAGATTCGAGGTACATGGAATGAAAGTTAGCTCTTTCGAGGGAACCCATCCTCAAGGTACCAGCTGCAAACGTTTGGCAAAGAACCCTTGGCAATGTAAGCAAAGTCGCTCAACTGGTGAAATGCCTTCTGAGAAACACACCGCTGATCTTGAGATGCAATATCTATTTGGTTCACCTCCAGAAAGAGGGGATAGTGTAAATGGTAAATTCCTCAAAAACAACTTCTCGGGCAATGCTACTCATATATATATATATGCTACTTTAAAGGCTTCCTAGGATTACAATTGTTCACCTGAGACTGCCCGAAGTAATCCCCCTTACCCTCCTCCAACAAACAACAAACAAGGAAGTGGACAATACCGATTTGCAAAGGACTGCGTGATCTTTCCAGGGAGGGTATGCAACTTCTGTCAAGAATTTGAAGATTCACCTCTGCCGGAAGCTGGACACCATTGGACGCCCCGACCGAGAAGGTCACCATGAATCACC